ATCAGCTCATCCCAATCAACAAAGTATTTTATTTTAAGATATTAACAGTAGAATGTAAATTTGCATCGATGCGCTTCTCCAATGCTTGCGCACTTTATTGCGTTATAATTGCTATATCTCTAAAAGAATTTTAGGTCTTTTTATAGAATCATTTGATCGAAAAATATGTTTGTACATTGACGGTGTAATTTTAAACGGTATTCTTTTATCGAAGACGAAAAACCTATGCTAAAACTAAAAAAGTTTAAAATGCCAATTTTTTTTTTCAGGGAAAATTTTCCACTTTTTCTATGCTTTTGTCGTTTGAACAACAGATTGGTCAACATGTGTAAAGGTAGTTTTCTCGGGTCAGCTCACACAAAAGCAGTGGATCCAAACTATACGAGGACGTATGACGTCACAATGCGCTGATCGTTCCCAGGATAATGAACCCTAAGTTTATTTATGCACCGGCAATCTAACTCCGCTTGATTCAATGGATCGGAAAAATGTGCCATAAATATCGAAGTCAGCATCCTTTGTCCCTCAGTTGTGATACGTTTAAAGCGATGGGCTGGATTCACGAACGCAATCCGGAAGTGAAAATAAATCATCCGTAGCAAGAAAAACTTAAATTTAAGAGGCTGGGCATGCGCAATCCTTAAAAAAGAAAACAGCAACCTCTTTTAATGCTTGTTAATTGCCGCGATGCATAAGCGCTCGAAAATACCCGTATGTCGAGCTTTCGCCTGTGCGAAAACACGAAATTTCGTTTACTAATGTTTGTAGAGGAATAATTGCCGAAGTTTCATTGTAAAATTTCGGCGAATTTTCTCGAGAATTAATGGTGGAGCGAAATTCGGCGAATTTCGTTCTCATTCTTTCTTCACAGTACTGTAAGAAAATCCAAGTCTACCTTACTGATCAGGTAGTCATAGGATGTCGTTTGTATAAAGGACATCGTTAAGAAATGTCCTGAATTTTCTCCCAAGTTATATCTTAAGATATATCTTAGGTAGCTTTGATTTATATATCTTAGTCCATTTTTCCTTTTTAATAGTTCCTGCAATTACAAATTCCTAAACTCGTTTAGTTTCATTCTTCAAAAATAGAATTTTTTTTTTATCCTCACTGTTAATTTCAATTCAATTGAATTCGAAATAAGTTGGTTCACGAAACTTCTAAATTTCAAAACCTCCGTGTTAAAAATATAAAGGGCGATATAAGGTCTCTTGAAAAACAACTTTGGTTCTATCAAATTGTTGCATTATAATCATGACAATTATTGTTCATCAGTATCGGAATTTGAAGAGAAGTTTTATGGAGTAATCGTTCGTTTATTCGCAATCCTTTCCTGCCATTCTATTAGTCTAGCGCTAACTGAAATCTCCGATTGAAGACTCGATTTAAGTTTAAATGATGAAAAGTGAAAAAAACAAAAATGTTTCAAAAGTTTTCAAGTTTGAAACATTGAATAAACTTTTACCATAAACTTTAAAATTTTTAGCAAAAAAAGTGAAAACTGAAGTGGCGATCAGAAAACTGATGAAAGTCATGATCGAAAGAGAGAACACTAAGAGAAATCAGAGTTTGAGTAGAAGATTGAAACTCAAAGAAGTGGAAGAATATGTGAAAATAAAAAAAAGAAGTTGCTTAATCTTGATCAGTCGAGAAAAAAGCGGAAAATTTGAGACAAAACTGAACTTCGAAGTTTGTCTTGTGATCGATGCCCTCTAATCTGTATTAAATTTTTCCTACTTCTACTGATCAATCGCCATGCATTGTAAAGCAAAATTGAGAAGTTAAAATAATGGACCCAGTGTGACAAAAATTGATGCACGCCTAGTCTGTTTTTTCTTTTTTTCTCAGGGCTTCAGTAGCAAGAAAGAAATAACCACACAAACGACGTATATGAGGTAAGTCAATTTTATTTTCCTGGCTAGTACGCTGTATCACAAACAATGAACAAAGAAAATGTGAATATCGGTATTTATGTCTCATTTCTCCTGTTCATTTCAAGAATCAAGCAGGGAATCACGGTCGTATCATGACCCCACACGGCTTCAAATAGTTTGGATTGGCTTGCCACTGTGCATCAACTCTTTTCCGAGAAAACTACCGAATGAGTGTTGACCTATCTGTTGGCCCAAAAGCATTACTAGGAAAACGAATACGGTAGAAACAATATCTTATGATTTGTAGACTTCAGTTCAACGTCTAAATATAAACTGCTCATAAAATGTTCCAAGATATTGGGGCTCTGATCATGATAGCCTTTTAAACAGAATCCGCCTGACTCAAAATGTTTGCATTTTGGATTCTTTCAGTCCAGTCACTCATCAGAAAAGTGCCCAACATTATTGGGCTGAATTAAATGAAAATTGATCTGAAGAGCTGAAACTGGATTGGTTGGAAGAGATGAAATTACAGTGCATTGGCGCATTCCCTTTTGTCAGTCAGTTGTAACTTTTTTCAAATGTTATAAAAATAAAGAATTCTTTTAGCATATTAATTTTACCTTTGAGAGATATTAAAATTGATGCATGCATAACCCATTTTCGCCGACGGAATTAAACTGCATTGTTTTTGGTTTTAATTAGTCACCTAAACTTTCTTTTCGAGGCCTGAAAGAATTTTTATCACAGCTTCATATTCTAAGCTTTTCACAAATCAGCAAATCAACAGTCAAGACCAACGAACTTAACATTCAAATTAAATTTTTATCCTTCTGTTTTCGATACTGCGAGGACGTTTGAGTCTTAAAATGTAAAAAACCAAACGAACATAATATACTCATCTGTTTTCCGAATAGATTCGGCCTCTCGTAGGCAGTGCATGGAGCGGGAATATGTTGTGAGTTCCATCAGCGTTATATTACTTCGGTTTGCCTGACATAAAAAAGATAAGTTAAACTTAATCTGTTAAAAGTTCCTTCCCCAGTCTTTCAGTAACATGAAAATTCATAGATTTTCCCGCCTTTGCACAGAAACAAATCACATTTTGATATCGAAACAGCAATGAATAGATCTATTCCTGGTAGAAATAGAAGAGGATAAAGCGCTTTTGAGTTTCTTCAGTTTCGTCGATGCATGTATGACTCAATTTTCTAACACTAAATAAAGAAAGGTCCATACCCAAAATCAGTGAAGTGTTATCATTACCTGGCACAAACGGAGACGACACCCCAAAATGGTTTCCACATCTAATTTTGCTTTCCCCGCGCAAGACAACTTGATTCTGCGAAGGAAATTAACAGTAGTCTTAGAGACATTCTCAATGTTGAAGGAAGGAGAACACAAATGAATTAGTTTTGTGAATGACATCAATACTGTTTTTGCTCCAGCAGGTTATCAATAAATAATAAAAATCTTATTCGAATACAGGCTTGTCGTTAGTCTCCATCCACTTAGTGATCTCTTTGCTGTTGACGAGATAAAAGCAGAAATGAAATGAAGAGAACAAACCTGCTGTCGTCTGCGAAATCCAAATGCGCGATAGAAACCAGAGATTTAGTTCCCCTTTCCAGCAACACAACAACGAAGGTCGTGTATAGGTGTGTCCCATGGATTTTATACCCGTCAGGTAAATTTATTCATCTCAGTCAAGAAACATTTTTCACATATCTCAGTGGAAACCGACCTTTTGCAAAAAGGTGATTTCTCCAATTGTTTTCAAGAAAGTCGTTGTGCTGTAAGTCAGCTAGAGTGTTACTCAGCGGCTGATTATTCAAAGACGCCTTGATAATGTTTTCCGCTCCTCCAAATAAGTGCATTTGTAATTAATCAATCCATAAGACTTAAATTCTAAGACGCTCAAACAGAAGGTTGCAAGAGCATTAACTTGTTTTTACTCTGTGTAACTGTTTTAACCTCGGTTAACTCAACTTAACTTCCAGAATTTAGTTTCGTCTGTGGCGCAGGCTATAAGGTTTTTATAGAAGACGAAGTTTTTTAAGGTTCGTGGTTTGCAGTCTAGATTGCATTGCGTTACTAGTTTTGCGTTATTCGATTCGTTTTTCACGCACCTTGAGGGACATCCTTGGTGTAAAAACCTGTGAAGTTTTTCTTTGTTTTCTAACTATAATTTCCCTTGGCTCCATTGTGTTGACTTCTCACAGGCTTCTTTGTATGAATTGTTTTACGTCACTCGTGAGTTTCACAGGTTTTTCTACCGAGTATATATGGGCCCACCTTGATCAATGTATGACATTACAACGTGGTTGCCTCAAAAGACGACGCATTGCACCTCTGACAAATGACAGTAATGAGGTGAGAGCAGGAGGTAAAATCTTTTGTTTCTTATTTTTCAGTTATTGTTGGTAGTCTTTGTTCCCAGCCAGGCCTCTTCCCTGTCTAAGGGTTTGTTAAATTGACCGTATTCCGGAATTAAGAATAAATAGAATAAACTCTAGAAATCACTTGGGACTCGGGTCCTCTCTTGACCACACCCAGTGATTTTAGTCCTTCTTTGACATAGGATAAAATTAGTTGCAAACGGTGTTCTATAAAAGTTTATTGCTCAGTAATTTGACTTAAAATCTAGAGTAGGCGAGTGCCTTCTCTTGCCTCTTGCTGCTCATTCCTTGTCAACAAAAAAACTGTAAACTTTTCGGAATTTTCATCTCCATGTTTCAAACAAAGGACGTTCAAGGAAAGGAAAGCAAATTTTTAGAAGTGTTTCAAGGTTTTCTGGGGGATCCAGGTATTTTTGTTCAGAAGTGTCTATTTTGTGCCCACAATGAGGTCGACAGAAAAAAAAAAACCGGCAAAAGGGTAAAAGAAAATCAGCCTCCCTTTTTTTCCCCATTCTGCCCCTAGGGCCCCACCCCCACCCCTGTAAAATGCGATGACTTCCGCGCTCGTTTCCAGTCCAAATCGAGTAAGCGGTCTGTGTGCGCAGGCTCGCGAGAGTGGTAAGATGTTTTCGAATGATTCAGAAATATCAATTTATCATTGCACGCTTTGATTTGGCCATGAAACCCTCAAAAATGGCTTAAAGGAAGGGATATAGGACGATTTAATATGGCTTCGGTCAAAGTAGCAGTCAGAGTGCGGCCCCTTAATAAAAGGTGAGGAAAATATTTTCGTTTTAAGTTATATTGTCGTTCGTGGCAGAGCCGGCAAAATCGAATGCCTTGCTTTGTAAAAATCGGTTAAATGTCTTCTTTGAATCGTCCAGGGAACGCGATATGGCCGCAAAAGTTTGTATTCATATGGAAGGGAAGAAAACTACAATCACTAGTCCTGCCGTAAGTGATTTGTGAAATTTTTCGTCCATTTTACGTAGGTGGACAGTTGCTTCTTTGCTGCAATCTTGTAAAATTACGGTAGTCTATGAAGTCTATAAAAATTCTCTCATTTTTTTAGGGAGAAGACAAGGACTTTTCATATGATTTTTCCTACTGGTCCGCGGATAGCTCAGACCGGCATTTCGCCTCGCAGGAACAGGTGATTTTTTTGAGAATATAACTTCCTTTTAAATAATTTTAAATCCAAACTGAAGATATTTTCGTGCAGTTGGCGATTCGTACGTCATTGTGAATATGTAATCAGTTAATGAAATTTTATACACAGTCTCACGTAGATTTGCCAGCAATGGGTATTCTTGACCCCAGAGTGATCCACACTTGTTTTTAATCCACTGAAAAATTTCTAGCAACAGTGGTGTAAGCTAATGTTTTGTTTTCGAATTTTTTCAAAGGCTGCAACTCACTGGCCAATCGTTTATTTTGGGATCCTATTTCCGTTTTTGTCTGCTTTTTTATAACCTTATATTCATTTGTTTTGCAAGCCAAATTTAAAATAACACTGATCAAACTATATATAAGCCTTTTGGCAATCTATAAAATTGACTCGTAACAATGAAAAATCAGTTTTCCTTTAAATTTATTGCTGTTATTTCATGTGGAATCAGAGTTGAGCCTTCAGTTTAAAAAACACTGATTAATTCGTTCTTTAGACATAAATTAAAATTATACCGCCCTTTATGAATGTCTTGATGATGTTTTGATTTTGTAGTGCTAAATCTGTTTCACGATGTGGTAACAGTTTGATTTCACGTAAACTATAAATTCAAATTTATTGTTTACTTCAATAGTGATTACAGATTGTTCACTGCATGTATGAGAATCATAAATCAAAAGAGAACAAAATGTAAATAATTCTGATTGTATAAATGTTTTATGTTGTTAACCATCCTTGAAATTAAAAGCCAATCATACACAGATATTTGTAAAAACATAACCCACTTCAAATGACAATCAAAAAGTACAATGTTTATATAATCAGAATTACAGAGCTTGTCTTTAAAGAGAAGCATAAATACTGGACTGTTGTCTCTATAACATTGTACTGGGTTTTACATAATTATACTTCTGCCGTTTGGTAAAATCATGTCGTTAGTTCATGTTAACAACCATGTTCGTTGTCATAAAATGTAAAAAAGTGCTCACAAATTAAACAGATTGTGGTCTGTTAAATCAAAAGTTCTCTGAATTGCTCTTGGAAGTGAGCAAATGATAATGTTTCACTGGACAAATATTTCAGTCAACTCTTTTTAATACAATTGATTGGACCAGCTCTGACTGTCCATCTTTGAAATGTGTCTGCCTAATATTATACCGTAAACTGTCTTGTATTAAACCCATCACCAGTATCTGCATGTTGGGAAGGTTCCAGCTGGTAAGTAGGGAAGGTAACCTTGACCACCCTGTGAGCAGCAACCACCAGGCATCATGAAAATGAGAACCTTAAGACGACAGTTTTGTAGATAAGCACTTACCAAGACATAGTTATTCAGAGGGTCAAAGGCAGTGCTGGGAGCAAAACAGCCAAACGAGCTGCACGCAAATGGCAACATTAACGAATTGAATTGACCTATTACTGAGGACCTCTAGGCTCTAGGACTGCCCTGCATATGACTAGAGAGAGAGACATGGCCAGCATTGACTTGTTTTTAGCATCAGCATCACAAGGGACAGAGACAGTTGACTGTTACTGCCCAGAAAAAAATTTGAAAATTTCAAACATCAGACCTCACAGTCACTTGACAATGATTCTAATGCTAATGAGACTAAATAATTAAAAGGAAACGGTTTAACATCTTTACCTGGCCAACGTCTGATGGACTGACTCATGATCCCGTTCTGCTGATTTTCAGGTGTTTGAGGATTTGGGAAATGATGTAATTCAGGCAGCATTTGAAGGCTACAATGCTTGTATATTTGCTTATGGTCAGACAGGGGCTGGCAAGTCATATAGCATGATGGGACAGGATGTAAGTATTCATAAATTCAGTGTTCTTACCAGACCGCAGCATTGTGGCGTTGTGGCTTTGCCACACTTTTTTGGGAAATGCCACACTATAATTAGCCTAAGGAGTTCCAAGGGTGCAGAAAAGGGAAGGGAAAAAACCTATTACAAAACGTATGTAAACATACCTACATATACAGTGTATACATTTCCTTATAACGTAAGCCAAAATTTAATTGGTTATGGCGTCTTTAGAAAACATCCATCATTATCGAAGACTCGGAGCTGTGAAAACATTGAGTTAACTGTATCTAAAAATTGTGACCTGCTTTTCTCCACCATGATCCCCTTTTAGCTTCTCTACGGGTCCTATGCACCCCAGCGTATGAAATCCTGGTAAGAACACTGTAACTTTATTCAATGTACAATTATCTGGAAAAGAGTAAGTGGTAACTTTAAAAAGGTATGTCATGAGCATTACTGCTGCTTTAAGAAACATTCAGTGTGCTATTGCCTTTATCAATACACAAAATTCTCTTGTGGTGAGTTATTAGGAAGATATCAAACAAATCTCAAGAGTGAGCACTACCCATTTAGTTATTGTTGCAGGCATACCATTACAACTTGAAAAAGTTTGCTTAAGTTTTTAAAGTTTCAATCCATATCCATCTTTGCCATCTGTAGCTGCAATAGATGACAGGAAATATATCATGCCTAATATATAATCTTTAAATTAATAACAAATCTGGATGTCCAGTATTTTAAAAATTTTGCATGACATGGGTAAATGGGGTAAAAGGGGTTTACACCAGAGTTAAGAATTAAAATTTTTGACATTCATGCTGAGTGTCAGCATACTACACGACAAAATATACACCAGCCATTTATTTATTGAACTTGGAAGTGTTTTCAAATGAAACCTCTCTGAAGTTTTATTTTCAAACTGGGTTGCAAATAATACAGGGGAACCTCTATAATGTGACTAAGGGCTAAGGGACCAGCAAAATATGTTCGCTATAATGAGGTTTCATTATATTGAGGTTCTTAACTTTGAACCATATATTTTACTAATTACTGAGGTCAAGAATATCATACATTACACCAAGGAAATTGTTATATGGAGGTTTGTCAAATCAAGGTCTCACTGTATTGATATTTTTATTTTTCATCAACGATCTTTCTGTGTGAAATATAATGATTATAATATATTTATTTGTTTGATGTTGAACTTTATTTTAGACTGCACCAGGGCTTATACCAAGAATATGTCAGGTACGTACAAACTACATGTACACAGTGTTTTTTATATGTTTTATTTTATTATGTAATTGTTACATTGTAATACCACAAGGATGAATCAACGATTGCTTCAATACTGTGTTATATAAATGCCTCATGAAAAACTGTCCACAATAGCACATTATTACGATAAACCCCAATGTCTTCTTTCAGTAAAACAGTTCTGTTGTTGAGTACAATGTACTGTATTTCCATCCTGAAAATAATATTGACGCAGTTTAATACAATCAAAGGTCTTTTAAGTAGACACCCTCTGGAAGCAAGTTTCCACAACTGGTGCTGGCTGCTTGGAGAGCTGTTCTCTTATGAGAGTATCCATGGAGAGAGCTTACACTGTACATGTAGCTTATCTTTAATACTTTTTTTCTGCTAGGGCCTGTATTCACGCATGGAGTCAAGTGGTGATGACAAGACTGAGTTTAGAACTGAAGTCAGGTAATGAGTATGTTGTCATTAATTCTGACTTGTACATGTGCAAAATTATTTGTTCTCAGTCTGGTGTGAAAAACCCGTTTAGTAGTATCTTAAATAATTATTTCTTATTGCTGATAGTTATCTAGAAATATACAATGAAAGAGTTGGAGATCTCCTGCGACCAGCAAAAGGAAAGGACAAATACACTCTCAAAGTGCGAGAGCACCCTAAGGAGGGGCCTTATGTACAAGGTGCGTGTTATGCTGAGTTATTTTTTTAGTGACAGTTTCAGTTCCAGTACCTTACCAGAAAAAAACTTGAATTCCAGAGCTTGTCCTTTGGGCAAGCAGCTCTCACATTTTGCTCACCCTAGACCACTTCTTGATACGGTAGATGTAGTGATATTTCAGTGTATCCTGTTCCAAAACTGCTGAACAGTGTAGTCTGCATCAACACTTTAAAAACTTGGTTTATAACATAGCGCGCGTGCTTGCCCTGTAAGTCCTATTGAGCCGCTACGAACAAAATCTTTATTTATGCACGCCCGTGCGTAAATAAGATGACGTGAACATTTTTTTTAACCTGGCTGCAAAGTTGTCGACTTTTAAGCTGCAGTGCACTTTGCCTTCTCTTTAAAATACGGAAGAAACCAGCAAAGAACTGCCCAATTTTTCTATCGGCATTGACCTTTTAGGTCCTGATCCAACAAGCAGCAAAAATAAAGCCGAATTAAAAAAAAACCCGCAAGTCGCGCGTTTCGCAAATTTGTCGAAGACCAGCTGCAGCAAATTTTGGCCGAAAAACATTCACTGGGAACAGAACAGACACCAACTGGTCATCAACAACATTTAAAGGCAAAATTTCCGTTTTTATTGTTGTTTTTAAATTTGTTATGCACTTTGTTATCTCCGGACTATCCGACTGAAGCAGGAAAATTTCTCTCGCAATAACAACACAAATTACACAAGAAGACATAAATTTACTACTCAAGAAGCTAGAGTTGCACTCGGCTATCGCCTCGTGCAACTCTTACGCATCTTTCGTGCTCTCCAAACTTCCCGCGTGCATCCATAACTCGATATACGCACGCTAAGCATGAACAAATTCTTAAGTATTTTGAATTTACAAGTCATAATACTTACTGTAGAAGTTTGCAATATGTATTACAGATTTAACAAAGCATGTTGTGAAGGACTATGAAGGCATTGAGAATCTCATGGATGAAGGCAACACAAACAGGTGAGAAATTAGCAAGCCTGAGCTAATAACTGTAGAAGAATTGCTTCAATCAATGAAAAAAGTGTTTGCAGCAATTATGATAAAGTTTACAATGTTTCAAACAACTTTTCAACGATTGTGGCAGTCATTGACACAGCAATAATGAATTAGACTTTTTTGCTATTTCAAGTTTGGTAAATCCACTTGATCGTTACAAACAAATTAACAACAACAAGTTTTTCCTAAACAAGCCACACAAAGCATCTGTCCTGCGTTATAATTATTACTTTTCTTTGAGTCTGTGTGTGGGTAGTTCAGTAAATTGTGCTCAATGTGCTCATGTTTCTCATCCAGAAATCTCTTATTTCAATATTTCAGGACAGTAGCATCCACCAACATGAATGATGTGAGCAGTCGATCCCATGCAATATTCACCATATTATTCACACAGGTTAGTTTTAGTGATAGCACGGTGGAGTCATGATCACAGCACCAGGCTTGTGAGTCCTGAGTTTGAGTTCTAATCTCTGACCAAGTGCTGGATGTGCATGGTTTCTCAGCTGCCTGAAATAAAATATTGAATGAATAACAGCCTTCATGATCTGACATTAATTTAGGGTTTTATAGAAAACCTTAATTCCAGCTTATTAATGTACTTTGCTCATGGGCTATAACATTTGGCCATTGGTTGCCTGATTGTGTTAGCTAAATGATTGAGCTACAAGATGAATTGCCTAGACCCTTTCTCATCAAGCATTCTTAGCAAGTTTCAATGTACTCATTACCAGCAAGAAAGTCTTATGCGTGTACTTGTCCTGGACAAGTAGATGCATGGCGTTTTTTGAGCCCTGTCAAATCTTATTTGAATTAATATTAAATTGTAAATCTGGCCTTTTTTATTTTCTTTGACTGTGTGCATGGCAGTGCATAAATTGGGAATACATGTTAATGTGTTGAATGTTTGGACTGCTTATTGTAGGCCAAGTTCTATACTGACATGCCAAGTGAGACTGTTAGTAAGATTCACCTTGTCGACCTGGCTGGAAGGTTAGTTAACTTGTTTAAATACAGGTTAAACTTTATACTGCTCAATATTATCCAACATTGTTCGATAGAATTGATTCTGTTTTAAGGCATTCTGAAAAACAGGAGAATAAAAAACTATTGAGGCTACACACGTTGATGCAGATCCGACTTGAGATGTTTACTGTACAATGTTACTGTCTCATATAATTTATTATGTGTAAAATATTAAATGCTGCCAGTTATAAAAATAATACAGTGTATCTAAGTAACAAAATAAATTAACAAATACATTATACATCGTTCCTTTAAAGCGAGAGAGCAAACTCTACTGGTGCAACAGGAAGCAGATTAAAAGAAGGAGCCAACATCAATAAATCTCTGGTTACATTAGGAACAGTTATCTCAGCACTTGGTATGATATATAGAATTCACACTCAGATAGATTTTATTTTTTTGTGCACTTTGTAAGAACAATGTGTGAAAGAGGTCTGTGGGTATTACTCATCTTGCCATAGTACTGAATGCAGGTGTGCTACCAATTTTTCCAGCCTGAAATTGCTCCCATCTCATGTGCAATTTAATTATTTACTTGGAAGAATTCACATCATGGTTTCCCCTTTGTAGATTACATGTTTACATGGAAGTTACAGCTTTCCTGCTTTAAGTGTGTTTCCTCGAATAAGAGCCCACACTTTCATAAGTGCCCTCCCCCAAACACAGGAAGCGCCCTCCCTCAAGGCCATTATATCAAATAAGTGCCAGGGGCGGATCCAGGATTTTTTTTAGGAGGGGGTGCACTCATCTCTTGCTCTACTTCAACACCAATAAACCACATATTTTATTTTTGGGGGGCAGAATACCAGTTGTATTAGAAAACCGCAGGTCATTTCAGGGGGGGGGTGCGCACCCCCTGCACCCTCCCCCTAGATCCGCCCCTGAGTGCCCCCTCGAAAAAGCGCCCCACTCCCCTCACTTTCTTAAATAGTAGGGATGCAAGGAAACCCAGCTTCAATTCTATTGCCACTTCATTTTTAACGTTTTAGTTGTTGACTTCAGCAGAATCAGTATGGGAGAATACAATGTAGGTTTTCCCTATTCCCTATTGTTGAAATGGTGAACAGTGAAAACAATGAAATCATTCCATGTTAAATAGGAAAACTGACTGCTGCACTGGATAGAAGCCCAGCGTAATGCGAACATCAGTCCCCGTTTATTCATACAAACACAAACACTTAGGTACTGCAAAGGCAGTGAAGTAAAAAAAAAAGTAACAAGTTCCGAGTAAAGTTCTTTGATCAATAATAAAGATGATATCGTGTCTGCTGCCCGTCAGGAAAAACCCCCTCACTAAGGAGGAAACCTGAACCCTCCCGAAAGCAGAGCCAGACACTTAACATGAACCTCGAGGGAGAGAGGTTGAACTAGAATACAGAATTATGAGTACATCAACCACCAACGGCAATAAATTCAAATGACACAAAAAGAAAAAAGCATTGACAAACGAAACTCAGGCAGCGATGTCAGCTTAGAATGATCACCTCAGTAAAATCCCGCCCCTTTATACATGAGTATCCGTGACAGCTGTCAATAAGCTGGAACCGTGAAAACAATAATTTGCTGCTATTCTTAGAACCGCAGCAAATAACAATTTCTTTGCCATTAAGTCACTTCTAGTTATTTCTGTATCCATGTGGATGCTTGCAGAGTTCCTTTATGTGCATTATCTCTTCTTTCAATTTTTACCCTATTGCCCGCGCTCACAGTAATGCCGTAAACTTCCCAGGAACCACTAGACCATTCTCTAGTTCGTTTAAAGGAAAACGTTATAAGTGCCCCCCTTGAGTAAGTGCCCTCCTTCGAATAAGCACCTGGGTGCTTATTTGGGGAAATATTGTATATCATAGTCAGGGTTAATCATTGGAGAATAAAGGGCAGCTTTTTGGGACAGAATATTTTCAGGTGAAATCATTACATGCAAAGTATACAAGAAGAATATGGGAAAAACCTGGGAACTTACTCTTTCTGAAATAAATCCAGGAGCACTCTAATTCCCTGCTTCTGATTATACAAAAATGGATACTCCTACATTACTAAAAATATATAGGATAAAAAATTGTCATTATTTCTGGTCAAGCTTGTCCTTGTCTGGTAATTATTCCTTTTGCTTTATTGTAGCTGAAGCAAGTGAAAATGCTATCATCAAAGATGCCAAGAAGAAACTCTTTATTCCTTATCGCAACTCAGTGTTGACGTGGTTACTCAAAGACAGCTTAGGAGGAAATGCTAAAACAATTATGATAGCAGGTAGAAAAGAAGTTCATTGTCACTCAGTCAAGCGAAAAATGATTCCTCCACCATTAGATTGCCAGTGAATCATTTTTTGAAGACCTGCCCCTAATGGCCGTTTTTATACTAGACACGTTAAACTAAAAAGTCGTCGAGAATTATTTAACGTCTGAGACGTTAAATTGTGCTCAATACATCGACACTTGAATGAAGAGCTTTTTTCATTCATAACCAAGAAAAACAAATAACAAGAATAACAAAAAAACCCAGTAACATCAGCAACCAAAAAATGGTAAGAAAAAAGTAATAATGAGGAGAAATTGGCTTATCAGTGTTAGATAAGTAGCCTGTTTGTCAGACGAAATTTCCCCTCATTTAACTCATCTGCAACACAAGCTAAGATAAGAGGCACTTCAACAAACTGAAACTGTTATGTTTTGTTTGCTTTAGCTATTTCACCGGCTGATGTCAATTATGCAGAGACTCTAAGTACTTTACGATATGCCAACAGAGCCAAGAATATCATTAATAAACCCACTGTTAATGAGGTTAGTCATTATGATTTAAAAAGGTGAAATTTTAAACTCCATTTCATAGAAAAGGAGAAAGGAAAAAGTAGATTACAGAAGAAATTAGCAGTAAACGACTTTGTTTTCAGTGCTTTAAATCTGTGTCAGAAAGGTTTAGTTTTTATTAATTAATCTGTTTCTATACTTCTTTTTTCCTTTATCACGACTTATCCTGTCCCTGTGTCCACATACAAATTCTCCATACTGTGCTCCATACATTTCCTTAAAGAATTAGTGGAGAGAATTTTTTAAAAGATTAAAGAAGTTTTCTCCTGATGTTCATTTTATTAATTGCCATAGCCTTTTCTTTTGATTATGTATTGGTATTTTTAGGAGAAAATTGGCCACTTTTGGATCTTTGTATAAAGGGTTAAATCATGTTCTTTATTTTTAAGGATCCTAACGTGAGACTCATCAGAGAGCTACGAGCTGAGATTGATCGACTCAAAATACTCCTTCAAGCTCATGGGCAGGTAAGGGATCCATGAAAAAATGATGATGTTTGGTCAAAAGATGTTCTGAACTCCTTTGCAAAAGCTTGCGTAACCTGTTCACAGACCCTCTATTTTCTCTGTAGAGATCGTCTAGCGCGCGCATGAAAATAAAAACCGCGGGGGATTAATTGGCCGCCCTTGTTCTCCTCGCCCCGCGCTCGCCCTAGCATAGCAGGGGCGGGAATGGCATTTTACACTCAGTCTCTGTCCAGTAAATAACTCAATTGTTTTGCTCAATGCAAGACAAAGAAGTGAACTCTCTTTCCGCTTTAAATATTGTGAAAAAAATGTCGGGTGGGGTGAAAATAAGTGATTGAAACCTGCACTGTCCCCCGTCTTCACGAGTAAATTAATGGCTGTCAGCGATATGCAGGGGGGGGGGGGCTAACCCTCTGCTCGACCAACATCTCATCAGTTGCGGGAAAAGGGGGGTAGGGAAGGCATTACTGTTGGTTGCTATATCATAGTGGGGATGATTGTCTTAATGTAGCCTCATACACTGTATTTGTACCTTTCATTATTTGAGGCAACATCGCTGAAATGTTTCACCAGCATGAATTTGAAACGGCTTTTAAACAAGAAGGCCATGTTGGGTAGTTGCCAGATAAGCCTTGTGCTGCCCTTGCTAGAGCTCCTTCTCCAATCCTTGTTTTTCAGGATGGAATTGGGGAACTTGGCGCCGCGGAAGAAACCAAGATGACTGAAAGGCTTCATGAAAATGAAGCTCGTGTTGAAGAACTTACTAAGAACTGGACTAGTAAATGGCGAGAAACTCAGAAAATCATTGAGGTAAACAAAACTGAGCCTATGAGAAAATCAAATCATCCCAAGTGTCCTGTAAGGAAGGCAGGGAATACATTGCATTCAAAATTATGTTATTAAAAATCTATTTTTCCTTTTCTTTTCTCTTTTTTTTCTTGTAGGAGCGAGCTCTCGGCTTCAGATACGAAGGTGCTGGCATCAAAATGGAGTCGGAGCTTCCTCATCTGGTCTGTATCGATGATGACGTACTGAGCACTGGAGTCACGCTCTATCATTTGAAGGTAGGTAACTCTCGTCACGCGTCACGCTCTATCACTTAAAGTTAGCTATCTTTCAATTGGCCATTTCCGTGTCCTGAAAACTCTCACTTTCAAAACGAGGCTAAGGGCAAAACTTTGCTTTTGAAAATGAGTTTTATCTACATGAGAATAAAAAAGAGTTTTCAATAAAACAAACTAACCTCTCACATAGTCTCACTTTTGAAAAAGAGGCTCCAGGCAACCAACTCGGAATGGCCTAATAGTTAGTCTACCAAATAATGGTCTCTCTGGCTTTTTCAAGTCCTTCTCTGCCATGATGTTGCCTGAGAAGGCTACAATCATCGTCAAAGGTGTTGGGAAGGCTGCTACTTTTTACCTCTTTTTTCCCTCCTCCCCCCACTCCTGGCCCAATGTTGAGCAAAATGTTAATGTTTATGCGCGTAATTGTTCTGTTATATCCCAACATTGAATAGAGGGGACGGGGAATATTTAGCAAAGAGAAAACTCTGTTTTTTGAGGATTAAAATGGACTTACTGTTAAGTTGTACAACCTTCCCAACTACTTTTGTCTGGGATTGTAGATCGTGACTGTATAATTTATTGCAAGCCACTAAAGGCTTCCCTTACTATTCACAGGACGGCATGACGTACATTGGAAGAGAGGATGCCAATTTTAATCCTGATATAGGTAAGGTTTGATTGTCATGGTAATGGTGATACGTTATGCCGTTTTGAAATAACTTGTCGTACACACACACACAGGTCTAAGGAATCTGTAGACACTTAGCTGTTTAGTGAATGAACACGTCTGATTGTTCCTCGTTTTTTCAACCCCCTTCTCATTGTCTGGACATTGGATGAAATATTTCAGTGTCCCAATTGTTAGCAGGTGCTAAGGCGTCTGAATGGGTTTTTCTTATTTCTCTTCGTGTTTGTTAAACTGCTCTAAAAGGACAAAAATAATACAGTATCTAATTGTGAAGTCAATGGGATCTGATGTATATCTTTTTTATCTACAGTGTTATCTGGGCCTGGTATTGAACCGGAGCATTGTATTATGGAGAGTATTGAGGGGACTGTGGTCCTTCATCCAATAGCAAGCATGTGTCAGGTGAATGGGCTCCCTGTGTGCAAGTCACAAAGGATCAGTCAAGGTGGGTTGTCGATAAGACCTATAATTATTTTATTATTAATTCAAACTACTTCCGTGCTTAAACCATGCACACCTATATTTAAAACTCCCGTTTTAACATTTGATTAAACATTTGCCTATTACTTTAGTCGGCAATTTCAGGATTTGAAGGGATATTTATTCTACTAGTTTTGCTTAAGGTCTGTACCTTCTTGAGAAGTTGTGAGAACTCTCATGTTGTAATTCAATAACGTTGTTATCTACTTGTAGGAGATGTAATCTTGCTTGGGAAAACGAACATGCTGCGTTTCAACCATCCCCAGGAGGCTGCGAAACTCAGGAAGAAGAGATATGTAAGTTAACTGTAGATTTTTTCGCTTGCAAGAGGAAATCCAGCTAACACTACTCTAACAAAGTAAATACAAAAATAGAACTAAAACTTTCAATATTATAAAGAAATAGCCGTAATAGGCCTCGTCTCCGAAGGGTACCTCATGAATTGTCACAACAATGAATTCCATGCGCAGTTAAATTGAAGAAACAGAAGAAAACAAAACAAAAATAATAAAAAAACAACAACAAACACTCACGCACAGTACCAGAAAATGGGGCTCGATGGGGTAATTAGAAATTTTGCTTTTAACTTTCATAAGGGTTTATATTCTCGAGATCACTATCGTTCTTAATTATTTAACTGTACATTATGTACATTTCGAGACTTTCCACTCAGTTTCGACTTTTTAAAAACATTTTTAGTACGAGTCCATGGAAAATCTGGCAGACATTTCATCGGAGCCCGAGAGGGAGCCGTCTTATATGTTCTACAATGCAGGGTAAGTACAGAACGTAAGTTTGTCTTTTCTGGTTTCTCTTTTATTTATATTACTTCTATAAAATAAAAAGGGTTTAAAAAAGGTCAGAACTTTTGGGTACCCTTTAATTCCTGTGCGAGGGTCACATTACAAGGTTTGGTTCACAGACTGAACATTCTTTGACTGAGTCAGGCTTTTAGAGTTAAGGGGCTTGAGTGATTGACGTCTGCAAGTATCTAAGGAAGCTTCACTACTTTCTTCCCAATCAGAATAAGTATCCATAAAATGGAATAAGCATTGTATTCGAGTGATCAAAATGAATGACGTCAAAGAAAAAAGCAAACGTCAGCTATGAATCCGTTCGCTTTCTTTGTTATCCAACCAAACGTCGCGCGCTGTGCCACTTACCGCTTAACCAATCCAATTTGTTCACACGTTATCGTTTATTTATCACTTGCTTTATTTTATCAGGTTCGCTTTATGTTAATTAGTTAAAATAGACCATGGTTACCGCAACAGCGTGAAGCCAATTACGGCTCTAAAAAAGTAACTTTATTCAAAATAAGAGCGCAATAGTAAATGCTTTAGCTGAAATGAGAAGAAAGACAAAGTCAAATACAGTTGAAACACCTGAAGCAATCACCCCAAATACCCAAATTTGTTGGTAGGGTACGCGAAGTGGTCAGGCATGGAGGTTCGAATGTGCCATAATTTTTCCAGTTTTCTAAAACACTACGCTCTGTACGTGGTCTTTATCGTGTTGTTTTGGCTTACTCCATCAAAACGCTAAAGGAATCGAAATTGACTCACGATTCTCTACTCAGAACGTTTCTGGGGCAGTTTTAGGCACGATAACTTTAGTTTTGTACTTCTACTCTTTTGATTGGCTGACAATATCAAGCGCCACAGTTTTAACCAATCAAACAAATTGTGACGTGCACACTCTCCTTTTCCCGTGTCTTACGGCGGGGACATGAGGAATCTTACAAGATTCGACGACGGCAACGAGAACGTCAAAAAAGCAACAGGTTTAAAAAGCTGAAAAACAACTTCGCACGTGCATCACGCTTTTTTGTACATTTCTTTGCCTTCACTGCACGACTACGACGTGAAAATGCCTAATTTTATGTTTGTGGAGGACGCAAACAAGCAACGACGAAATTTTCTTTCTCTTTCTGACCTTAGATGAGTCTCCTAGGAATTTAAATCCGGGAGAGCTCACATATATTTAACAAAGTATGCGAGTTAGAATAATCACGATGAAGATTGAAAAACCGCGAATTCACTTTTCAAGCGAGGTTTCCTTGCCGTCGCCGTCCTCTCATGTTAAGGTCCCTCTTTGTTTACTCCGTGGTCTGATGTTATCGTTCGGGTGTCTTTCCCTGTTTTGATTGGCCAAAGTAATTACTTTTAATTCTTTTTGGGGTCCTGAATCACGTCACGTATTTGAAAATCGATGTCTTTGTTGTTTTCTATTTTGTAGCCTGGAGCTTGAGCGCCAATATCGCGAAGAAACGAGAAGAATAGAAGAACAAAGGTAAATAGCGAGATATTTAGTTTTATCAAACTTTATAGCCAAGGAGCGAATGACATGCGTGTTTATTTTAGAAAGCGCAAGTGCGCTGTAGAATATGGCTCACGGTCACAGGGTATATTCTTGAAATAGACTCACTGAATTTGATTGAATATTTCACGCTTGATCAGCCTACTCTTAAGTTTTTCTAGGTCTCATCACTGTACTACCATCACGTATACTAATATTATTTAAAACTGTACTATTTAGTTCACACCGGCAGAATTTTGATTAGCTTAACGGGCCGTGTAAATTATACCTTGCTCTAACAAGAGCAGCCATTAAATCATATTCATTTGAAAAGCAAATAAATGAAATTTATCTGTACTGTGAAATCTGTGTGTTAATCAGAAACTGAGTGCAAGTGGCTTCCAAACTTTTTTATTCTCTTATTTATAACGCTCGTGTAAAACAAAACCAGCGGACTCTAGTGAGGATCTGATTCTCGAGTGTGTGCACTCAAAGTTTCTCTACATGATTCTTTCTTGTTTTTTAGGCGTCGAACTGATCGTAATAGGAAGCTTAAGCAACAACGACGGAGACGGCAACGTTTTTTGTACATTCTTTGCCGTCGTTGAACGACCATGACGTGAAACTACCCTATTTCACGTTTTGTTGAGGACGTGAACGCAAGACAACTAGTTTCTCGTCCTTTTTTTTAACTTCGATACAGTCCTTTAGAATTCAACTGCAGAAAAATTCACCAACATTTGCCAAAATGAACGGCATGGAAGAAGAGCGATGAATTTTGAAGTAGCGCGAATTCACGGTTTTTAAGAAACGTTTTAGCTTGAGCTCCCAAATATATCCAACAACGGCCTTAAAACCCGAGTGAACTAATTGCTCTTGATGTTTTTTGAGATGTTGTAGTGATCTTTCCGTCCCGTCTGTTTTTCTCTTATCAGGAAAAGTCTTGAAACGCAGCAGGTTGAGGCTGCGAACAAGTTAGAAGAGGCTAGGTTTGTATGATCATAATCAGTCACTAGCAAAAACCAAGTGACGAATTGAACCAGATTTCTCCATTATTGCCCCATTATTTTGTTCATTAACTGATTATCGGTACGTTTAATTGTGGAGGATTGGTGCCTATACATGAGCCGTATGCATATTGCGCTTTCGTGTTTCCTTGTATTTTCGTTCGTATACAAAATGAAAGAGCTGTCACTTAATAGGCTGTAATATGGTATCGTTCCTTTTCAACGCTTCATGCGTAATTTCACTGCTCCATCCGGGTCACCTTAGTCACAGCTGTGGCCAATCACAGTAGACGCTGACATGCCTGAGCATGCAATGAACCAATCAAAACATGAAGGAAGTAACCAACTCACTTATTCAAAAAACACCGCATTTTTCAGTTTGGAAACATGCTTGGCAATAAACAAGTAGTACACATTCTTTTTCTTTGTGATGATGAACACTATGATCTGTTTTTGTTTGTTTTAGAGATGGTTGACACGGTCGACTTTTTCAATATGACTCAGCAAATATCAAAGCAATGCTGAGAGAAAGTTAAGAATAGTGTCCAGGCAAATTGAAACAGTTTTGACTTGGGCAATTAAACATATTGCAGGCGGGAACTTGAGTTCCTCCGTTCTCAACAACAGAGAGCTTCGGAAGTAAGAAGCGCGGAGGAAGTTCAGCGAAAAGTAGAGTTGGAAGCGAGCCACCAGCAGCTAGAACTTCAGAAAAAGTATTTAGAAGAAATTCGTCAAGAACAGGAACAGGCGCGTGAAAGAGCAGAAGAAGAAATAAGACAGGTGAATTAGTCTTAAATATTTACGTTTTTAAATGAATACAGAACTAGACAATCAATCAGTCAGTCATTTAGCCATTCCGTCAGTCAGTCAAGTCTGTCCGTCCGTCCGTCCGTCAGTCAATCAGTCAGTCATGTCAGTCAGTCAGTCAGTCCGTCCGTCAGTCAATCAGTCAGTTAGTCAGTCATTTGGAGCGTCTTTTTTCTAATTTTTTGCTGTTCATGAATTAGGTGAAAGAAAGGATTCGTCAAGAACAGGATGAAGAGCGACAGCGCTTGGAATCTGAGATGCAGCGTTTGGTGGCACTTGAAGAGGAACACAGGAGAAAGGTGATGGCCAAGGAACTGGAGATGAGCAGGATAAAAGACGACCTTGAAAGAAAATGGGAACGTGAAAGGCGACAGGTATTCCAGTAATCTGAGCTTTCAGCTTCATTATTTCGCTAGTTATAATCACAAAAATCCTGATTCTAATACGATTTCTGGACTAGCACTGATTGGTATTGCATTGTGTGGCTATTTTGCTTATGTCAACTTGCACCCGAACGCGCGCTAATTTCATATTGTGCTTTTTTCGTGAATGGAATATCATTGTCAGATTATATGCAGCTAAAATGCTTCGTTTGGACTTGCGATGACTCGCGAGGACTGCGTTCAATTGGAATTGCGTTAGATTTTTTACAGGCAAATACTTGCACTGAAAACTTTGACATTTCCTTTTCTTCAGAAATCAAAATTAAACTAGTTGTTTTTTCTTTTATCATATTTTACTTCGTCATTGCGTCCACACAGAAGAGAGTAGATGAAACATTGCGTAGTGTTGAACAGAACTTTATTCGTTGTATACAGAAATGTTGCTTGACTCGCACTTTCTTCCCAATTGTTGTTTAGTTTTTTAGTTGCTTTGTAAATCATCTTACCGATAGCTGTAGCCAAAGTTTGTTTTAATCATTTTATCTTTATCTCAGGTTGAAGTGCAACGTGAAGAGGTAGCAAAGCTACAGCAGGAAATCGAAGCCAAGTCGCAAGAATTAGAATTAGCTGAACAGCAAGCTCGAGCTGCAGCTGAACGGAGCAGCACCGCATCTTCATCTGGAACGTTAACTCCCTCCACCAGCAGTGACGCGTTACAAGAGGCAGCTGCTGCCGCGCGCAGTGAGGCAGCGGCAGAAGCAGCAGCTAGGGCGGAGCCCGAGGAGAAGAATCAGTTAGAGGTGCTGCGTGAACGGTTGAAGCAGCTGGAGGCTGATTATGAAGAACAGCGGAAGCAGGCGCAGAGGGAGATGTCACAAGCCAAGGATTCAGTCCGCAGAGTGGAACAGGAGACGTTAGAGGGACTCCGCAGCCTGACGACAGGGAAGTCGGCGATTGAATTCGAGTGGCGTCGCTTGGAGGAACTGCAAGCGAAGCACAAACGAGCCCAGGAGCAGTCTTACGTCAAGATAAAAGATGTGCGCGAGATGTTAGAGAGTGCGGAGGAAGTAGAGGAAGCGTCGCTAATTGAGAAGGAGAAAATGATCATGGAGAGAAGAGCTGCGAGAATGAAAGTGGAGGAAGCAAGAAGAAGGTGAGAGGAGTTTCAGTCATATCTGAAGCCCGAAGGACCAAAAAAAAATTTTTTTAGAGACCGCCCCCCCCTTTATCTAAGGGTCTGGATGACCGGGTCCCCACCCCTTTATCTCAAGGTCTGAATCCGGCTCTGTAAGCTTCTTCGTAAGGGGCTTTAGGAGGGGTTCATATCCGAGGGGGACTTATAACCGGAATAAAGAATACGCTTCGTATTCAGGATACGTGCAAACGAGTCCTTGTGAATATTCAAGAACATTTAGATGCGTGCCTTGACGGCTTCTGTCCACACGAGAACGATTGTAAACGGATAAATTTCGTTACCGGGTGGACATAAACAGACAAGTTTGTATACGGGTTCGTGTGGACATAATCTTAGTTAGCCGAGTTGTGTTAAGTTTGGTCAGTGAAACTCTGGCTTAACGCGTCCTTTTGATTAAAAACTTTGTCTCTATAAAACTAGGCTGTATAATTTAATGTCACTTGGTTTTGTCTCCAGTGCTCTTGAGCATGACAACGGCGACGAGGACCAAGTGAGGTCACAGTAGTTCAACGATAGGTGAAATTTAAATCTGAGGAGGCAGCGTGAACGAGTGGTTAGAGCGCTGGACTTACAAATCGGAGGCCCCGAGTTCAAGTCCCGCCCTGACCGCTAGCTGGATTTGTTCACAGTAGTCCTGAGTTCAAATCCTCGACCACGCTTGTAAAAAGCCAACTGGTTTGCCTCATACCAGTTGTGATTATTAACCCTGTTAGGATCAATTTGAATTGTTTGTTTCAGGCATTTGCTCGGCCCCACTAGCATTAGTGCTATAAATACTGCCGAGGGTAAATAACGGAATTATTATGATTATGATTATTATTTCACGTCAGGTTTTAAAAAGATAGTTTATACCGGGTTCTTGTTTCATTGACAGGTTGGAAGAGTTGGAAAACGAAGATAAAGATGTGGAGCTAACTGAAGACGATTTCACGAAAAAGAAAGAACTTTTAGAATTCGAAACTCGCGAGGAAATCAAGGATATCAGAGAGGAACGAAAAATTTTGACTGAACTCTTGCACAAACATCAAACGGCGCTTCAAAAAGCGACGCTGATGGTAACGGAGACTAAGACCAAGTTAGAGAAACATCTGGAGAGCGAGAAGCTTATTCTCCTGCCGGTCAGAGAAAAGGTGGAGGGTTTGGTTCGAAATGAGCTTGGACCGTTGATTGATTACGAACAGGAAATAGAGAAAAAATGTGAGGATGTTGACCGGGAGGGACGTGAGCGCAAGAAGTTAATCTACAAGCAGAGGAGACGAATCGCGCTGCTAGAGCGGCAACACAACCAGGCGCTGCAACAGGCAGAGAAAGAAACGTTAAACGAAGAAGAGCTTGAAGAGTTGGAGAATGAAAGAGAAGCAGAGCGTAGTCTGATAAGGAAAGAAAAAGTTCGATTGCTGGAGCTCGAGAAAAAGCACAAAGAACAGCAAGAGGTCGCGGAGCTGACGATCGGAGAGGCTGTTCAGGAGCTGGAAAAACGGAAATCGAGCGTGAATCAGCTTTTGGAAGCAGAGAGGCGGAAGTTAGCTGATTTAGAAGCTGTACATAAGGAGACGTTAGAGCACGTGGAACAAGAGCTGGAACAGCGATCAGAGATTCTGCACCGAGTAAAGGATAAAGTACAGAAGGACAAACGACAACTTGCAAAGCTGGACGTGAGGCAGCAGCGATGCGCGGCCAAAGCGGCGGAGGAGTTGTTCCTCATGGCGGATCTGTTGGAGAAAGAAATGAGCGACAAGGGAAAAACAGATGAGTTGATTAGAATTAAGGAACAGAGGAAGAAACTTCAGGAGTTGGATAAGCAGTTGAGAATGGCGGAAAAACGAGAGAAAAACTCAAGAGGAGATGACGCCGAGAACCCGCAGTGTATTCTGTTGTAATTTCCCGGAGATGGATAGCCTTAATCGTCACGCAAAGCCTCTCTGTGAAAAGCGTTGCGTGACAAAGAAGCCTTGCGTGACGATTCAATCATCTTTGTTAATTCTCTTTATGTAAAACTCGCTCTTCTTTTTCTGTTCGCCGGTTTTGTTTAGCGTGCTTTGCTACAGAGGTGGTGGTTACCTCACTTTTCTCAATTTAACGGATCAGGCGTTTATTTCAGACGCCTTGTTTGTTGGAAACTGGAGGGTTTGTGGAGCGAGTTTGCTATTTTTCTTCTTGAAAACTTGAAAACCCTTGTATCTCAAGTTATCATACCAAAAAACTAATGACCAATGGTATAAATATTACTTAAAACATCCTCTATTGACCCGGCGTTTAGTCAACAAAATTTGATATGCCCTATACTAGAATCCTGGATTTTTCTTCGTTTCTATTTCATCTTCTGCATTGCTTTTCTATGTTGTTATATAAGGAATATCTGGTAAGATTCCTAGGGGGGAGGGAGTGAGGGGAGTTTGCTCTCCATTATTCAGAGGGTTCAATGAAATCTTAATTATTTGTTAGGTATATTTCTCAGTTGTTAAATTTTCGTGCCAGGAAATTGTTTTAGAGCGGTCGGTTTTGTTGGTTGTTGCAATCAAACCAAAACTATTTTATCTCCGTGCTTTGTGATCCAGCGAAACGTTTTTTAGGCCTTATGTGGTGAATTTTGTTCAAAAAAACATATTAACTGATGTCCCTAGTGTTAACCGCTGGAAAACCTCTAACCGTTGCGAAAGCGCGATTTCGGGAAGGCGCGGTAACGTCAAATCGGTGGCTAAATAATACACAAATGGTCCTAAGGATTTCAAAGAGCGCTGGAAAGATTTATAATCTCGTAGGTTTCATGCCTTAATCGAACTCTTCCCTTTTTTCTGTCTCTGCTTTTTCCTCTCTTTGTTTTCTTGAATTGTTTTCAACGATTTATAGACGTAGCGTACATTTGGCCAGCAACAATCGATGGAAAACCGTGTAAAACGAGTTCCTTGCAAATTTATATCCCTCTTTGTACATATATCAGTTAATCCCAAAATACAGTTTCGGTTTTGAGTTCATAAACCTAAATTTGAGCGCGTACAACAGTAGGAGAATTATTTAAAATTGGTTAAGTAAAAGTGGTTTTGCTTTTATTTGGAAATGTAAAATAAACGCAAGATCGCAATTGAAACGTTATTGCCTTGACAGTTTATTTATCTAACAAAATTTAGTGCTGTTCAGTAAAGAAAACTTAAGATTTTTTGTAATTTGAATCAACTTGGAACGCATTTCTCCAGATCAGAGGAGATCATTGCTAGCCAATGATTTGTGCAAAGAAAACCTCTTTTCATTCTTTGACAATGTTATGTAAAGATATTAAAGAATAAAGTCGTTCGTTGGACAAAATATATTTATTTCGGCGAACTAATGTAAGGATAAGTTTATTTTTGTTTTACCGTCTTTTTTTTTTCGATAATGAATTGTACAAAATATTAATTATAACCCTGTGGATAGGGTGTTAGTAGAAAAAGAAGAGGTTAATTAAGGGAAAATGTACCTCATCCAGTGATAAATGTCTATACGTATACTAACATACTCCAGGGAACTGTTACCAAAAGCCCCCTGTTAGGGCGTGTTTACATGGAGGTGGGGGACCCCAGTTAGGTGAGGTAAAATGCGGCGGGTCACCCCACCTATCCTGTAAACGTGATCAAATGAAAATGAGATTATATGGACAGACGGGTTACCCCACTTAAGCGGGTATCCTCACCTACCTGGGGTCCCCCACCTCCATGTAAATAAGCCCTTAATTAATGCGATCCTAAAGAAAAACTCGAAGGCTCTAAGGAGAAAGCTAGTTTGGGTTATAAAACCTTAAGGGTATGCCTTCTTCTGGGGTGGGGTACTTTATCAAAATGAAGGGTGTGCTTGTTGTACTTTTTAAGGGTTCAAAGTGCGGGGATTGGTACCGCTTAGATTGCTTCAGTTTCGAAAATCCCCACCATTAGACCTGTAGTAATATCTTGCAGGGACCTTAATTGGGGTCTTAACTGAAGTGATGGGAACTAGTCGTCAAAATGTTCTGAGGATCGCGCACAAATCGAGATTCTGGTATCGTTTAGAAGTGTCTTTGGAATTTTCCGACGAGCACCTTCGTCATTTTTATATGGACGTTCCCCTTGGGGCTCACTTAGGTGAGTTAGGTAGGTAGCTTGAACTCTCATTTGTTGTAGGATAGGGTAAAGACTAGTTCCAGGAGTTATCAGCAGTGAAAGAAACTGCGAAAATCACTGTTAATGTGATATTGAATAAAGAATTAAGGGGGCATCATTTTCTTCCTTTTTATTGTCTCAACTTTGTCTCTTTGTGAATGGACTTTTATTTGATAATCATCGTCATTGTTTTCGTTGTCTGCCATTTGGCAGCTCACGAAACCACGACTCTCGTTCACTGTGGCGCAAAACGAGAGATTATTCTCTTCCGGTTCATTTGGTCCCGGAAAAAATGTTGACATAATCTTTGTATTTGTTGAAGGGAAACCTCAATTCAGGGGAAAGGAACGCTTTTCCTGGGTTCCCAAACCCGAGTTTAACCTCCTTTCAAGAGACACCTTAGCTCTTTTAAACGCGACTGTCTACAAAGAGGGTAGATAAGTTTAAGTGTTCACAAATCACAATGATGACAGCTTTCACAATGTGAAATGGAATATAAATAACGATTTAGTAGTAGCAAATCCAGAAAGTGGTTCTTTGCTACCATTCGTGGTCGAATTAACACTGGCCTAGGTCCCAAGGGTCTCCCCTGAACTGTAGAGATTGCACTGTAGCAGGTTGGAGACTGGGAACAAGTCAGTTCCAAGCCATTGGAACTCGCTTATCAGGTTGATTTAGAGGTAATGACCACTGCCCCTTTGAGTGCGGTAGCTTATAGAGGTAATAGTTCGCTAAGCGTGTATGATTTGATAGATCATACGTCATCATTAGACTCAAAAGAAGCATGAAAATGTCCATAAGGGCACTATGGGCACAGTATTCAACACAATTCACCCAGAAAGAAAACAAACAAATGATTCTCATTGAAAACATTCATTTTTTTATTACATATAAAAACTATTAAATGTTTCAGTTGAGTAGTTCTTTCCATCTGGAAATAAACGTAAGTGTATAGATAAAAAGAGTAATCCCTCATATTAGCACCGACTTCCTTTTAACTTGTTCTTTTCGTAACCCTTTACAAGTTTTCTCTTAGTAACAAATAAGCGGAACATTTGAATTTCAAAAGGCGATATCTACATCTATGAGTGAAGACGTTTTCGTTATCTTTTAACAGTTTTGAGACCCTCGCGAAAGATTCTTTCAGATGTCATAACTAGATGTCGCAGATCATGTAATGTCATTTTCGCGGCAAAAAATAAAGATCTGAAAACCGAAACCCATGATTCCATTTTACAGGAATGACTGTACAGAATTTGAATTTCTCGCTGTTTTGTTGTAGGCGCCCATGAGATGTCCGTATTCATATTCCCTTCAGGATGGTAATATATAGATTTAGCCAGAGCTAAACGCGAAGCTCCCATTTACACAATCGACCATAATATGTCTATTATCAAGTTAAACGCAGGTTACAGGTTCCCATCTAGCTAGAAAGTTTGACATTTCACATTGGTTGGCCTGTGGTGCGGACGGACGGACGGACGGACGAACGTACGGCCACGTGATTACCATAATTTCTCGGATAATGGCGCTCCCCTCGCGCGCGCGATTTTAACATTTGTGTGGTCTCTCACCAGGAAAGTGGTGGGGGGGGGGGGGGGGGGGGGGTGGGGGGTGGAGAAGAATTGACTCTGAAGCGGTACAGTCGATGTCAGGGTGAGGGGGGTGCGGTGCGGGCGGCGGGGCGAGATGAGGTCGTGCGAGCTACCGCCCAGATCCTTAACGCCTGTCGGCGGCCGGCGCCTCCAGGGGTGGGGAGGTTGGGAGGAGGGGGTCAATAGAGAAGGAAGTGGGGGGGGGGGGAGGGGGGTGGGGTGGGGGGGGGGAGAATAATAAAAAAAATAAAATTCAGTGTTACGTTACGTTACGTGACGTTACCCAAATTATAGCTATACGTTCCTGGGTGTAAAATGACGAAATTGGGGCCCGCACTCATTTATTTGGTTATTTTAAATAACTATTATATTAATTGATATGAATTGCCTCCGGAGGGAGGAGGCAGGCTAAGATTTTATGGGAGATAAACTCTCTTTGACTTCACAAGTACGTACAATGGTAAAAAACTGGTCAACATAAGAACCACCTCTACGGCAAACGACAAACGACATTTGTCTTAATTTGTATCAATTAAGTAACCGACTGAAGTTTTCTCTTACTACTCAATCTCAACTAAAACAAGTAGTTTCTTGCCGGTTTCATTCTTTTGAACAGTTTTTAATCTGCTTGTTTTTCCTAATTCAAGAAAAATTGTCAACTTTAATAGGCAGACGTTTGCCGTAAACGTGATCTTAATCTCTAAAGTTTAGAATGGTAAATTCGAGTCTTGGCGAGACTGCGAGACCACGGTTTCAAAATCCTAGACCAAGACTTATCAAAATTCAAGACTCCGAGACAAAAAATCACCCACAAACGAGACTTCGAGACCCATCAAAAACGCTTCCAAGATTTCGAGATCGGGCCAAAAATTTCTGAGACCAACTTTTTTCGAGGAACCATTCTATACCCTTACTTAATTTGCCCATGAGGGCATGACTTTTTACATATAATGTATTTATTTAAATTTGTTTGATGATTAAGATACGGATAACAAGTAATGGTTTTCAAGCAATACATTTTTTGAATGACTTTGTTTTGCAGTCCACAAAATGGCGAAACATTCGTTTCAATACCGATAGAAAAATCCCTTAAGAATGTGAAATTATCGAAACCTTCACCGCTAATTTTTCTCCTTGCAAGTTTACAATCAAGGTAGTCTTCTAAGTATCTCAAGCAGAATAGATTAATCTAGCAGACAGCTTTAGCTTATCTGCTGATAAAAGCCCTGCATCGCTTTGAAGGAAATTCACTTGATTGGCATTGTCATAGCAACCATTCGCTACAGCATGTTCTCACACTGCCTATCTCTGTTCCTCTCGCGGCGTTGTCTTGATTGTCGCCGACGTCGTTTTCTTTCTTTAATGATACGTTTGCACGTCTCACCACCAAGACGCTTCATCCAGGTGCAAATGTGAAAAACATCGCTGTGTCTTAAACGAAGAGCAGCGTTATAATTCAGTGTGTAGATGCCGAGGAAACGAATAGGCACATGGCAAGGCAATAGAGGGCGGGTCCTTCTTCGTACGTCACGATTCCCAGAATTTACTCCAATAACATAACGCTTTTTGACGCCGTTATGCAGCTGTTTCTCATAAACCCCTGCACCAGAAGACCCCTCTATGGCGTCGCAGCAATGGAACAACATGTTGGAATCAAAATCCGAAACTCGGCATCCTCTAAAAGACATAGAGAAAGAAAAAAAAAACATTATTTGAATTTTCGGGGCGTGCGAAAGTGGCCGTTGTAAAGAGATAGCCGTTAGTGGAGGTCCAATTGTATTACCACGGGTCAGATGAATTTACGGTTAGAAAGAGGATTAACAAAGAACTAAATTGGAATCAGAAATAGAGAAGACGCCTCGACAAACCGCTAGGCTTATACAAGGGAGTTTTCCTCACATGATAACAAATATATAGTGATACTTAACTCTTTTTTTTTATTTTATTTTTTTCCTAAAGGTTCTCACAAAGTGGTTGCCGCCACGACGAGAGAAAAATACCAAAATACCTTTCGGTTCATAAAAAGAGTTTCCTCCCCGCCCCCCCACTTCGGAGGAGGGTACTCCTAATAATGGCCTATATGAGGAGGCTCCAATCGTCAGTTAAAACTCTACCGTCGGGTATATGAAGTATGAAAAAAATATAATTGTAATTATTTCTGTCGTTGTTTCCGCTATAAACAGGTCAGAAACGTTTCTCAAAAGAACGACTCAAGCCTGGGCTTCTGCTTAGATGATTTTTTTGGCTTTATTTGCAACCAGCCCCCTGTAATCGTAGCCGTACTACTGTGTCGAAAAACGTATCGCATCGTACCTGTAAAGCATAGTGCCTTCCCTTCTGTCTTCATCAAATGCTGTAAAATGAATATATCTGTGCGCGCAACCATTTCCATATGGGAAGGCTGTACTCGGAGCAATGGGTAACCAACAGCGATTGTGGTTTTTCTTCAGTTTGATTAAGGCATAGTCGTACTTAATGGCATTCTTGTCTTGTCCAGCTTTCCACTCTCTCGGCATCTTAGTACTGCTTATATTTTGCCAAACTGTGGTTCCATTTTGCAACAGGAACCCCACTCTTAAATTTCTGTATCCACTGACGTAATTACTGCCATTGTGAAGGCAATGGGCTGAGGTCAGGACGTGTCTTGGCGAAATAAGCGTTCCAGAGCAACCGGTAGAAAGTATTACCGAGGCTGAAAAGGGGCATTTTTGAATGCGGCTGTTTGGCACTTTGAGGCGATCATCTTTACCAAAAACACGTCTTTTTGATCTAAGCTTTGGTGAGCTTTCTCGTGATTCTGGGCGCAGTGTGTCGGTGTTTTTGAAGTATGTTTCGTCCACGTCAGTTTCGAAATTTCGCCGTTGGTCGCTTTTGAGTAAAACTTTTGATATCGATGCCGCCATTCTCTTGTCTTTTTCTTGGGCGTTGACCAAGATCGAACCAAAATATTTCTTGCTGTCAGTGTGCTGTGTTATACTCGTTTGAATTGTCTCTATTGAGAGACAAATAATCACTATAACACATATCGCCTTGGAGATGGTAGGTGCAAAAAAAATAGCCATGTCTTCACTTTGTAAGGAATGATGTCTCAATATTTAACGAGTATCGTGTTAATCTCTTATAACCTGCAAAAGATAACAAAATCAGTTCGTCAGTTTCCCATGTAGTATTCGGACCGCAAGATTACCCTTTGCAAATACATCACTGTATAACGGTCGTTTGGCTGTTAAACACAGGAAACTGTCTTCATATGTTAAACAGACTCATTGAAAAGTATAACAAAGGCTGTGCAAATGAAGTTTATAAACTATTGTCGCTCTTTGTTTACTATGACCTGTGTTGTAAGCTGTTAAGACTATTTATTTTTGTAAAATACAGTTAAGTCTTTGAAAGAAGCAATGAAATGGAAAAAGAGAAAAGGCGCCGCAAGCCGGACGCTAGCTGGTGTCAAAGAAAAGAAATAGGAATAAATGAAACATACTCCGTTTCCCCATCTTCCTCCCCCTACCTCTA